TTTGCAGGCAACCTAAACCCACTTAAAAAGAACAACAAAGCAACCTGCGACTGTATGTTTGTGGCCTACATGTCCTTTCACCCAGCTACGGGTTGGCCTCCATGGTTTTTCCCGTACCCCGGCGGAAGAGGTAGAGATTGGAAGAGATCAACGCTGGAGGCCGCCGCCACGTTCGTCACAGAGCTCATTCACGCCAAGGGTCCAGCAGTGCGTTTTCACGCTCGTCGCCCTGCGGCGGGCCAGGTGATGGTGATCACGAGTCTCAGGAATTCTCTGGAGACGAAACTGAAACTGAATGCATGAGTTCCCAAGCAAGGTGACAAGCTGAAGCAGTCGAAAAGAAAGAAGCAACCCAAACTTATAAGTGGTTTCCCAAGACAAAATATACTGTAGAAGCAAATTACACCGCAATTCATTCCATCTATTCTGAGGACACCATATCACTGATCATATCATATATACACCACCCACATCAGCCCACATCTAGACACTCACGTTGAAAAACGCCTTCTCGGAACTTCCAGAGTAGCCCTGAGCGTGGTCGACGATGCGATTTAAGGTGGTGGTACGTAGGGTTGGGTGTATCCTAGACACCCTGGGCCCAGTGGATGATAATGGCTGCTAGAGGCCTTGTTCCAGTGATTTGCTTGCGAAACCCGACTGTTGCCGGAAATGGGAACACCCCCAATCTCCAATACTAGGGTTGAAGGTGATGAGTCCACCACCAACTGTGCTTGTCCCACGAGACATTCTTGGCTCAGCTTCCCATGTGGCCTGGGCCAACCTCAAAAACACCACCAGGAAGAATACTACTTGTACTCCAAAGGCCCGCAGCTTGATCAATCAAGAGGACAAAGAAGAACTCTGTTCAATTAATCAGTAGCTGACAGAACAAAGTCTCGCGGGCTGTGGGCCTTCTTAGAAATGCGAGTCAAAACCGCCACATGGGAGCCACTGACTGAGAAAAAAACACTGTTTTCATCTACCTTCCACCAGCGCAGTGGGGACTCTCCTATCGGCGACCTTATCTTCATTGCAGCAACATGAACATTGATTCAACATGACCGGAAAAAAAAAAAAAAAAAAGGACACTGACGGGGTTGTGTCGTTAACGGTGTCGCTGTACAGTTGTTGCTGAAGTTTGCAGGAGAAACAATCCAGGAGAGGGTGAACAAAAGTGAAACGAACATCAAGCACAATTGAAAGGTGCCAGGACAAGGAACATTCAAAAACCCCCAAAAAGTAAACTGACACATGGCTGTGGGTCATGGCACCAGGATACCTTGGTTGACCAATCTGGTGTCGGTCGTTTGCGGCAAATGGTGGACTGGTGATTGGTCGGGCGAACATGGTTGAACGACCCAACGGAGGACCCATCGGCCACATCTTGCGCGTGCACATGAGGTCTCGGGATATCGCAAGAGATGCCCGTTGTTTGTCATTTTTGGGGGAACAAAAATAAATATACCCCCAAAGTCACGCAATACAGCAAACACCCATGGGCACCTGGATTTTAGATGGGGAACGGCAGGATGGGGCCTGGGTCCTGACGGTTCCTTTTTCTCTCTACTAAGTTTACATGTGATTTCCAAATTACTAAGTCAATAAAATACCTCGTGAATCTGACCCTCCTGTCCGCCGTGTTCCGAAACATCTTCGCTGCAAACGGCGCAAAACGGCGCCAGGTCTCCCGAAACGACGGCCGCAGACCGACGACCGCAGTTCGATCGCCTTTTGCAGGTCCAAAACCAGCAAGTAGACTTGTTCGTCCATGCCCACTTGTCGTGGATCAGGCGGAACCTGGGCGGAGATGGCTGGGAGATGACGGATGAACGCCACCGGCGCCACCGGCGCCCGCCAGGATACGCAGCCCGGACCCTCCCGGTCAGGCAAAGCACCCCGATCAGTCGCAGCCTGTGCCCCGAACCAGATCCATCGCACTCGAGTGAATACACCTCCATGAGTCGACCCAGCCGGGCCTAACTAAGCCCTTCACGCACCAACAATCAACCAACCAACTCAAGTGCAAACTGGACAAAACCTTCATCTTTTTCTCCTTAATCCATTTTGCACACCAACAAGCATATTAGATGGTTCTCTTGGTTTCGCCATGTTCGCCACTGACCGGTGCCCATCGCGTGGACCCGAAAAAGGTGGACCCGTCTTCTGCCGCAAGGAAGAAGTCCAAAGAAAGCCGTGAGCCAATGAATGGGTCTCAGGGAAAATCGGCAACGAAACCATGCTTTGGGACCCCCAAAATGGGCTTCATGGACTGCTAGAATTCGAGAAAACGAAGAGAAGCCTGTTTTTCCTGATACACGTTTTAGTTACAGTATGTAATTGTCTTTATAAAATTTGACGACAAGCATTATATGAGTTTAATTTGTATGCTTTTGTGTAGTCATTGCCACACTGCCAATCCCACTGCTTAAACCCCAGACTTCATTTTTCTTGGGAGTCTTCAGCGGCCCACCATTGCTGAAGAATTCTTGAACCACTGCTTCAACTCCCATCTCACTCCCCCCCGGCGGGAAGAGCCCACCGGCGCAGTCTCACGACGGGCCTCGCCTGCGCTGGTGGAACGGCGACGGGTGCCACCGGTGCAGCCGGCAGGTGCATCCGCCCAAGCCCAGCGTGGGCGCCAAAGGCCACGCCTGCGGAAGATCAGTGTTTAAACACTCCATGGGACTTGAACAGGACAACTACCCCAGCCTGGTGGTGGAAGGTGGTGGACTTTGACTCCCGAGCTAGAAGCTGAATGACCTCTATTTGGGACCACCAAGCACCCAGAAGATGGTCTTTTCCTATCAAACAGTGGCCCAAACTGGGTTCTAGGTACCTGATATACACTGTTGATGAATAAAACCCTCCAAATGAAGAGGTTCTAATCCACATGAGGGGGTTGATTGATCAAAAGTCTACAGGGAGTGACTGCCGGTTACTGCGGTGTGAGTCGGAAAGTAAAGCATGCTACATTGTGGTGGTTGGAAAAAGAGGTCAATGTACCTAAATATCCTAAATATTGCATACGGTCATGGAGTGTTTGGGATTGCCATCCCCAAGTATGGCAAACAAGCCGCAAAATGCCAACATCTCCGGCCCGTACTTTTCCATCAGAGGGGTGTGCACGTTTTCAGAATCTGGAGTTCTTGACTTCTGAAGGGGAGTGTGCTCATACCGACTCACAAAATATTGCAGAAATGAAAAACATATAAAAGCATGTTCAGTGTCCAGTTCGAACACTGATCGACATTGACCACACTGTAGCTTGCCACCATGAAGATCCATGAAGGTTGAGGTTCCTTTTTTTGATGATGCCATGTATCATGTGTGTCCATGGCCTGTTCTTCATTCAAACAGCCTTCACAACGGCCTACAAAAAAAGGCACGACAAACGTGTTCTATATGCTACAAACTGAACCCAATCTACAGCCATGACACTGCATCTCAACACATGCACACAAAGAAAACACAAAAAGGCATCTTACACACCACCGGTCGCCTTCCACTTCACGGACTATTCCAAAAAAGAACAACAATACAACAACCATACAAACAACATGTCTCGGTGCCAAACACCCGCTTCTTCCGTGCCTTGTGCGCCCTGAGGATAGTACTCCATGTGTTCCTGCGGTCACCGTTGGCTCCCGTCACGTCGCCGCGTCGGCGGCGGAGCCGTGGGTCCGCGGGGGATGGACGAACTTCGGTCGACGGGGTCCCAACAAAAACGACACGAACGCGACTGAAATATCATGTAGACTCTTGAGGACAGTAAACCCCCCATATGAAGAGCATGTCCAATTCAAATGAGAGGGCTTATTAATCAAGTCTCTACATTAGACTGATCAGGTGACGTTGATGCTTCTATGTCGCCGGCACGACCCAAACACAGACTTAGAACCGTGCCCAGTCCTGCCGGCGACATAGTGTGCCGTCAACGTTTTTGGTGTGACGCAAGGTGCAAGAGATCCCATGAAAGTTAGGTCTAATGTGGACTCTTGATTTATACAACGCATATGCAAAGGCTTTATACATGACTTTACATTGCAATTGGGGGATCTCATTGCAATTGGGACCTTTCTTCATCATGGCGGGGGCCCCTCAGCAGTTGGTCGTGATCTGCTGGGGGCTATAACTTTTACACCGCCCGTCTGGGAAAAGACGCGTGCCCGACTGCGTCCACGCACAGACCAAAGTGCCTGGGTCGTGTGCCGCAGGACCCTGTCTCTCTTCCTCGAGCCCCAAAAAAACAGCGGTGCGATCTGCAGCGCGAGGCATTGAGCGTTGCCCGGGGCAAGGTTGGCAAGGTGGATGAATGGCACTGAAAAGAACTCAAGAGGCATTTCATGGTAGTTTGGTTGCCCCAATCCCATTGGGGCAACCCACATCTTTGCAAGTTCAACGAGGCTGGCTGTAAGCTACTGACTGACTGACTGACTGATTGATTCAGAGTGTTGGAGTTACCCATACGGTATGGGGCAAAAAAAACTTGGCCATGTGCAATGCAAAAAACAAAACACGTGTCTTGCTTCCGCGTATTCCCGCGCTCCTACCAATCATGTGGTTTTTTTCCAGGTCACCCACTTCCAAAGCGGCGAACAACTTCTGGTTGATGGAGTCATCTGCAAGACCTGTTGACCAGTATTTTGTCTTGAAACAAAGACCCAGCCGTGGCATTTTTCCCTCTGGGTGGATGGTATGAACATGAACTGACAGCTGTGTTGCACTGTTACAAACCCCGAACACCTTTCAATACGTTGATTCGTGCAATAACAAACACGCAGTACACACCCTTGGACTATTTTTATGTTCACCGTGAACTTTTCTTTCACCCTGCCTTCGCTCTGATATCACTTCCACTTGCTCCCAAAGATGTTTTTCTTTTAAGTAGATGGCACAAACCCAAGGATGTTTCTTCTATATGGGGTGCATATAATTCACCTCTTGGGGATTTTGCCATCCTGCTTCAAGGCCTCCGCCGTTCTCTGGGCGTCCCGAGCCCATCCTGTTTCAAGGCCTCGAGGGCAAAGGTCGGATCTGACAAGACCTCCTGGCGCGACGAAATGGACGAAACGGCAGCAAGTGTGGGCGAGATGTTCCGCAGCGAACTCGTGGGTTCAAAAGTTTCGGCCATGTTTTGAATTCATACAACGAACAAATTATACAATGTGGATCCTCGTGAAGATTGGCATAGTTTTTGTCTCCCACATTTTATAGCACTTAAACTGCAAGGATGGGTTTCGGCGGTAGAACTTGCCTCCGAAGTTAGGCATGCCTATACCTACGTTACAAATCAGTGAAACAAATACAGTGATTTTTAATATGTATATAATGAAAAGACAGGATTAATCAATCCCCCCTAGTTAACCCGAGCCCACAAAGCCGCCGAAAATTGCCCAAATTAAAAGTATTATTGGCGGTTGATTTCCCCCCTATGGTCTAGTTTTCTACCAACAATCCCCCCCAGTTAATCCGAGCCCACAACCAGGTCAATTTTTCGTATTACTACTACTACTACTACTACTACTACTACTACTCCTACTGCTACTGCTACTGCTACTGCTACTGCTACTGCTACTGCTACTGCTACTACTGCTGCTGCTGCTGCTGCGCCTGCTACTGCTACTGCTACTGCTACGTGCTACTACCACGACCACCACCACCACCACCATCACCACCTACTACCTACTACATGTTTGATGAAATCCTTTAAAAAGTCTAGGGCTCAGGGCCTATAAATTGCCTTATTAAAAGACAATTTAAAACAATCATTTGACAAGCTCACAAAGGGTACCCCTCACAAGGGCCGGTCCCCCATCAATAATCTGCACTACTACCCCGTATTAATTTGATCCTGTGTCCCTGGGTTTTTCTTTGTGCTTGTTTAAACTTGTTGTGACTACTACTACTACTACTACTACTACTACCCATTACCTACTACCTACTACCGACGACGACTCCGATTACGATGGCTCCCTGAGCCGATAATTCAGGGGGGGTGGACCTCATGAGTGGTATCTCAGACCTTGTTGACTCGTTGACCTTGTTGACCTACCATGCCAGGGGGGGGTTTATTAATCCGGTCTATGCATTACAAAAATGGTACCTTCAACTCACAGGGACACCAAAGTCACTGAAAAATGTGGTGTGCAAATTGAAGTAGTGTTTTTGCATTCAAACAAATTTGCTAAAGGCCGTGTGAAACTCAAGATTTCGTTTCCATTCCGTTCTGCAAAAACAGGATGTGCATCAACTGCAAAAACATATTTCATATGATAATGTAGCATGAGTGCCCTTTTAAATTTAGGGCGAATGCCTTTACAATCCACTCAACAACGTCCAATTAAATAAAAATGTTAGGACACAATTTCCTTAGAGTGCAATGAGTACAAAATGTTCAAAACACGTATGATCTTACACCCTTTCAAAATATGGACAACATGTTTTCAAACATATTTACTCAATCGATGATTACTTTACACAGCTCCCACCTCCCAACATGCACGGTTGTTCAAAAAATTGCATTTGTTGATGTGTGGCTCTATAAATAGAAACATTGTTGCACGACAGTCATTTTTCTACACTGGCCAGCTGCGCTGTATAGTCAAAAATGTTTCCAATTTCCAATTGATTTTTTAGAGAATTGGCACTGAAAACATTTGGTAAAAAGTCAAAGTCACATTTTACCCTGGTCATCTGTTTGATCCCAAATGCAACTCCTCCTTCGAAAGTTCTGCAATATCACAGTGGCATGTAAAACCGAAGTTCACTATACAATCAAAAATAAACCCAGGTTTCAACAACTCAGTTGTCCCATCCCAACACTTGAGTCACCTCAAGGTGCAAAAGATATTTCCCCGGCCCCATCGATGTAGAACATTTCGCCGGTGACAACTGCTTCCTGAACTCACAATTTGCTGTCGTGTTGCTATGCACACGAAGCGCCCGAAAGGCTCCAGGAGTCGACTCCCATCTTTCAACGCCAAAAAAGGACCATCGCTGAAGTGATTGATTGGGAAACGTAGGGGCTGCAAAGCGTCCAGGAGGCACATCCTTGAAAGGCTCCTCTTTTGCAATCCTGACAACATCTCATTCAAAAGAAAAGCTTACCCAAACATACGCTTAACTGCGTTTGGTTATGAAGAACTGTTCCTCGCCTGTCAGGTGAGGGTTGCTAGATTTTTTGTCAGCTGCCTTGCTCCTACTCCGCCTCCTCTTCCTCCACCTCATCGCCCTCCTTACCTCCTTCTCCGCTGCCTCCTCAACCGCAAGTGTCGGATGGCAGTGTTCCCCGCCCGACCTCAACCGCGAGCTCCGGATGGCAGTGTTCCCCGCCGGACCTCAACCGCCAGCTCCAGACGGCAATGGCAGTGTTCCCCCGCAGAACGTCAACCGCCAGCTCCAGATGGTAGTGTTCTTCGCCGGGCCTCAACCGCGAGCTTCGGCTGGCAGTGTTCCCGCCGGACCTCAACCGCGAGTCTTCCCCGCCGGACCTCAACCATGAGGTTCGGCTGGCAGTGTTCCCCGCCGGACCTCTACCGCGAGCTCCGGCTGGCAGTGTTCCCTGCCAGACATCAACCACGAGTCAGAATATATGCCAGAAAGAATGCCACAATGAACGACAAGAGAGATGCGAGAAAGAATGTCAAAAAGAATGTCAGAAGATGCGCCAGAAAGAATGCCGAAATAATGATTCAACACATGCCCGAAAATTTGTCAGGTCGAAATGTCATGGTGGGGATCACTCGGAGTATTTGTTTAGGCAGACGGCAGATGTACCGAAAAGCAAAAAAACCTTCCAAGCTCCTCAAAGGATCTGCAGAACCTTTTCTCTTTGGAGCTTGGTTTGACGCTTGAGTCCTCTGACCCCGCAGTACAGAATCAAAATCAGAAAGAAACTGACAGTGGGTGTGGCAGGCAGATACCCTCGCCTCGCTGGAGCCAAAATATCCCGGTGAGACATCTTGATGACTTTTGTGAACGTAAAACTTGCAACCGCAAGCTAAGTGCAAGTGTGAACAAAGATTTCCAATCTGTCAAGCTTAAGCTTACATCTGAGGACGTTTTGCTTCTCAAAACAAGCAGAAACACTATGCTTTGAAGCCTTTTGTCCGCTTTGGCCTCGCACAGTTTGCTCTCTGATGCCCTCAAGCTGGCACAGCGTGAGGCGATCAGCTGCTGGCAGTGGAGTTAATCCCATCAACTGCGCAGCCTGTCCTCGCAGCTATGCATTTCTGCGTCCTGAGCGGTGCAAAAATATCAGCTTTTTAAATGTGATATGTTGTTAGATAATTGACGATGCGGCCAGATGCAACCGGTTTTTGGAGACTCTGCTGCAAGGCGCTCAAGTCCTTCAAGGGGTTGCATCTGATATTGGATTACAGGAGTTGATACAATGAAGTTCAAATGAGTTCAACCTAGTTAGCTTTGGCTATTGGCTGTCGAGTTCATCAACCTAAAGAGGTCTCCAACCAGCGACGCCTTTGGATGAAATCACAAAGATTGCAGGAACATCTTAAGAATTGAATGTCTGCTGCGTGCGGCGCATCCTCCAAGCTACTCCCAGATTTGAACGCCATAGCAGCTTGGTTCATTTCAGCAGAAGGTACTTCCCAGCTATCCTCTGACAAGTTTACAGTTCACTTAGCGCTATGGTCTTCTTTCCTCCGCTTCAACGCGTCTGGCCTACAAGAATCCGTCTTGCGTTTGCGAGATCATGGGGCATTATTCTTTGCTGTTTCACAAGATGTGGGCGCCTACGACAGAGTTTAAGTGAAACATAGCCCCTACCTTATCGAGGCCCCCCCGTGGCATGGAAGAATAGGGACAATGTGTCGCGGGAGCTCTCGACACAACATTTGCTTTGGTTCTAAGCGCAACATCCAGCTCCCCTGCCTTTTCTGTCACGTGAAACATGTGAAACGGAAACTAATGGCAATTAATGGGCCTGAATTCTCGAAAGAAAAGGACGGCAGCGCAGGTCTGTGGTCAGGGAAAGTCGCCTAGAAGGCTTCAAACGGACTTTCCTTCCCGAATATTGGTGACCAGCGGCCACACCACAGTGTGGCA